AAACCAATGATGGCAAGATGATGTCATGGGGTAGGACTAGATAAGTCTGACTTCTTCCTACTCCATTCAAGCATGTACTAGGTATAAGCAAATTGATATTGGATTATGTGTAAAATTATGTGTGTTGTCATATCAACTGTCTTTACATGCTTGAAAGGATAAATCAAATCAAATAATTGCACGTTGACTGTTGACTGCTGCACATGCTGCTCCCATGCAGCATACATTCTGTTATATTCTTATATATTTTTATTATATTGCTGCATTTACTGCTTAAAGTGCCTTAGATTTTGTGTTACTTATTTATCTACTTTATATTTCATTTGTATTTTTGTGGCATTCTTGTGGATGGCAAAGTAAGAATTTCATTGTACAGGGAAACGTGTGTATATGACAAATAAACACTTTGACCTTGACCTTGACCTTGAATTGCACTGCCCTGTCTCCCATATTTAGGCGAGGTGGTTGGTTTGCATTCTTAAAACCTGCTTTGGTTTAACCAACCACTGTCATGTCGGTTGATCAACTTAGGTCATACAAAGACAAGAAAACAGTGTTCAAAATGCATCAATAATTAAGAGTTTAATCCAATAAAAAAGTCAGCCCAATTCAATTCCAATTAAAATCGAGTGATATTTCACATACTGAGTACTTTTACTTTTAGCACTTTACGTTGCCTAGCCTCGTGTGTTTTGATGGCAGTAGGTTCCTTTTTAAACCCTACTTAAGTAACATTTTTACTGCATTACTTTTACTTGTCACAGAGTATGTTTTACATTTGCTTATAAAAACTGGACAAACCCACCGTGACGTCACACACTGGTTTTCTGAAGAGCTGTTCTGAAACTGATGTCTGGCCGTCGCCATATTGGTTGAGCTTCAATCCGCCTGCTAGGTCTAATCCAAAAATGGGCAAAGAGGTGGAGCGTGAGTGGAGCTGGCTAGACAGCTAGGGGCCGGCCACCTATGGCAGCACCCTCCCCCCTTAACAGTTGTAATGGAAGGGGAAATTAGCTATAGAGACCAAACCCATTTCTTGTACAAGGCTGTAAACATGTTTATTTCTGTTGTAAAGTTGAGCATTTTGACATGGAATTGGAACCAGCCTCGACGAACTACAGGTGCTGGCACTTCCGCATTGGTTTCATTTCTCGGCCTCGGAGGTTCCCTCTTGGAGTGCACACTGGAACCACTTCCGGACTGAGGAGCGAGGAACCTGACGAGAAACGATCCGTAAACGAATTGGGATGTACCCAGGTCTCGGGTAACCACGCCCTCGCCGGGGCTTCGTATTACATCAGCCTTTACGCATGCGGATGCATTTGTGTAGGAAACTCCAGGGTCCTGTGTGTTGCTGTTTGCATCTGAAGGTTACAGCAGTGAGGCTCCCACAGTATTGAAGGTAAACCCTAGATTTGTGTCTGTGCTGTCTGTTAACAACATGTGCTCTTAAACGTGTTGGTGCAATGTCAATGGCGTCGCTGAAATCTTCGTTTGACCTTTCGATTTTAAGACGTCCTTGTCCTACGCTGTTTTACTCCCTCCTTTCCTTTTCTCTTCTCTTCTCTTCTCTCTCTCAATTTTTGCCTGACAAAGACTTCTCCATGTTCTTACCTGTAAGCTAGCAACATGAAAGGCACAAACTAAACTCAAAATTTGCAAAAATCAAAAACCGAAAACAAGTTAACTAGTAGCCTATTGATCCTTTGCAGATCTGCCAGGATGGCTGCGATGTCCAAAGAGTATGGGTTTGTGGTGTTGACCGGTGTTGCCAGTATGATCATGATTGGACACTTAGCAGTCAAGGTTGGGAAAGCCCGTAAGAAGTACAACGTGGAGGTGAGAAGAAATGGCACAATATGAATAAGCTGTATCCACTGTTGAAGTCTACACCCATCCCATTAGTCACCACCCGAGCAAGACTCTTGTTTGTGGCCAATTCATTCTTGGGCAGTGCCTTTTGGTGTCTTATGCAAATCATTTAGAATTGCCTTGTTTAATGGTGCTATATAAATATAATTGCCCTGCCTTGTAGTATCCTCGGATGTACAGTGATGACCCAGAAAATGGAAACATTTTCAACTGTATCCAGCGTGCGCACCAACACACGTAAGTATGAGCTGAAACAGAGAATATACACTTTCAAGAGTCACACTTTGGCAATGGAAAAAGAGCTGAATGTTAACCTGCTGTTACCGCCTCTCATTAGCCTGGAGATCTACCCCGCCTTTCTCTTCTGCCTGGCTGTTGGTGGGCTGCACTGTCCTGTGAGTTGACTTTTGCTTTGTCACACAGCACTAATATCCCAAAATGTGTACTCTTCTTGCCACATCCTACTACATCTTATTGTCTTGGCTTTACTTGTGTGTGTTTGGCTATCGCAGCGTGTAACCAGTGGACTCGGAGCTGTATGGATCATCAGCAGAGAAGTGTACGCACATGGCTACTCTACAGGCGGTAAGGAAATATCGGTTTGGTTTTCAGTGTGTTTGCTGCTCTGTCAGTGTAAACTGATGGAGGGTGCTACTATTCTTATTCATCCCAATCAGATCCTAGCAAGAGGAAGCGAGGAGCGTTTGGGAATGTGGCTTTGATTGGGCTGATGCTGACCACACTCAACTTTGGACGCCACCTGTTGGGCTGGACAGGACCTTTCCGTAATGCACACCACTGTTGCTAGTGAGGGTGAGGACGTCAGGCTGGCCTCCCTTATAAATCGTGACCACTCTACATACACTATATACCCTGAAGCATGTATACTATCCTCTAAACAGTGTCTTGTCTAGTGACCTGACCGGTTCTCCATGAAGGCAGATGCTTATGGGTGTGGTGGCCGGTTGGCTCTCCTACTACACCCTCAATCTGAAATTTGTAATGAGCTGGCTACATGACTTTTATATCATGTATTTTTGCAATAAACAAAGAGCAAGTAATAATAGTGTAAACAGAACAGGGAAATTAGCCTTACATGATTTAAATGTTTCGTACACTAATGAGCAACTGTGTTTAAATAAAGTTGTGGTTTCTTATTAAGAGTTGAATGGATTATTGATTTTATTGAAAGTAAGGTCTTATTAATAGTGGCTTGTCTTTTATGGACTGCCTTATTTTAAGCCAAGCAATTGTCCAAAGTCCACATAATAGCAGAGGCAAGTGTAAAGAGCTTTTGTGCTCAAATCTCACACAACTTAATCATAATTGTCTAAAGAAACTGACTTTCATACTGGAACTATTTTATTATCAAACAGGATATCCATACAAATTCCTACAGTACATACTGCTATGACATCATACATCACTGTTGGCACTTAACAGTAAAATAACACTAGCTATAAAGTCTTAATACAACAGCTGAGTCCCTGCACATTCACATGGTGCTCCAATTAATGCACAGGCAGCAGGAGACTTCCCTGATGCTGCTTCTCTTTGTCTCCTCATCTGAACAAATGATATATGTGCAAACAAGTGCATCCTCTATAAATATGAATGTTATAACACATTAAACTATGATACTGTGTTACCTTTTACTATTCACTCACATTTAGTGTAGCAGGGTGTTCTCAGTGTGTATTATTGGGTTAATCATTCATCATCAAAAATAATATCCAAATTGAAGTTTTATATGGCAGCATCACATCATGATGCTATAACACATTTATCTGTCATTAAAGGTTGTAACAATATTTTCCACCTTTACATTTGGGTAGCTTGGTTAATACATTTGAACAATTGAGTGATTGGTGGGTTTTTCAGTAAGAAGGCTTTTGATTATTGTTTGTTTGTTTATGTTTTGTGTAGGGCTTCAGTTTTAAGACAATATGAAATCTGAAAGTGCACTTCACTATTATTTGGTAACCAAAGGGAGTGTAATCATTTTGGCCAAGTTGGCAACTTTCCCTTGTGTCTTGAAGCACGTAACATACCCATTCTGCCTTTGCCTCCGTCTCTTATCAGTCGCTGGATAACCTGAGGTTGTCATCTATTTTACATTGGAGAACTTCATGAAACCTTGATCCACATTATCTTAGATGTCCCCTAGGGGGCAGTGTGACCGTTCCTGCCACATTAAAGTGCTGTGCGTAAAGAGACAGTCAGGGATACAAAAAAATCAGGAAGATCTCCAGAACTTTAAAGGGAATGTAACAAATGTTGAAACAATACCAAAACTTGTTGAGCTTGTCCTTTAGGAATCCCTCACAGAACCACAGATAAACACTTTCATTACTGATTCAAAACCTATCGTAGCTATAGTAGCAAAGAGAAACTCATCAGCATAGATGCAGCTGCATCCAGGCATACAGTAGGTGTTGCTCAGGGCCACCCTGATCTTCCTTTGGTTTCTGCTGTGTTTCTGTCCTCTGAGTGCTGGAAGTGACTGGGAGACCTCCTCTGTCAGTAGGTGTATCTGGAGAGTGGCGTGTCCTCCATCAAATCGTCCTAGAAAAAGATGAGTAGAACAAAAGAAGTTGCACTTTTAGAGTAGCACCAGTGTTAAGAATTTAATCATGAAGTCATCTAAATAAGGCCAAGCTATCTTGAGCTACAATGGCATGTAACATATTAGGCAAAGTATAATTTTACTTTAAAGTATGACAGATAGACAGATTATACTGTATTTTTAATTAGCTGGGCCACTGACCTTCTTGAGAATGATTTAACTATTGACTGAAGAGGTGGCATTCTTTTGCACAGAGTGGGACACATAAAGAGCCAGAACCAGGGTTAACATCAGTTTGGCTTTTTTGAGATTGAGAGAGTCAAATGCAGCCAAAGGACGTGTATTTAATTCAGATGTGGCGTCCTGCCTCCTGGATGTGTTGGCATCTAAAGACTCAAAGTGTTTATTGTCATGTGCACAGTATGGAAACGTGTTTCCCTGTGCAATGAAATTCTTACTTTGCCATCCACAATGAATGCCAAACAACACAAGTGAAATATAAGGTAGATAAATAGTAACATAAAATCTAACGGCACTTAAAAACAGCAAGTGAAAAGAAATATAATAATAAAAATATAAGAATATAATAAAGGGAGAATGTATACTACCTTGGAGCTGTATGTGAAGTACGCGGCAGTAAATGTGCAATTGTGCAGGTGCAAACTTAGAATGTAAACAGTACAGGTGGAATTACATGAAGTCCTGATTGTATACTCCTGTCAACTGTTTACAAGTCTGATTGAATTTGGAAAGAAAGAGTTTTTCAGTCTACACATTAGCAAGTATCTTACCATGGGTTAAAATCTAACGGCACTTAAAAACAGCAAGTGAAAAGAAATATAATAATAAAAATATAAGAATATAATAAAGAGAGAATGTATACTACATTGGAGCTGTATGTGAAGTACGCGGCAGTAAATGTGCAATTGTGCAGGTGCAAACTTAGAATGTAAACAGTACAGGTGGAATTACATGAAGTCCTGATTGTATACTCCTGTCAACTGTTTACAAGTCTGATTGAATTTGGAAAGAAAGAGTTTTTCAGTCTACACATTAGCAAGTATCTTACCATGGGTAGATCCTGCAGACGGTGAAATTCTGGGTGGTTTGTCTGCTGTCGGAACTTGAGGAAGAGGATGACGAAGACGATAGCAGTGACGACAATGAACACTGACAGCAGACCGGCCAGCAGGGGGTCTAGAGGGGAGCTTGAACGGTAGTGGGGCTGCTTAACATCTGCATGACAGGAAAAGACCAACAGTATCAAACACATATCCATACATTATCTATACCACTTATTCATGAATAGGGTTATGGGGGTGGGGGGACCCAATCCCAGCTGACATTGGGCGAGAGGCGGGGTATATCCTGGACACACCATCAAACAAATCCTTTTTCAAAAAATTTTTAAATTAGAAAAAACAATCTATTCTCATCTGTCTATCACCTTACCTTCATCTCCAACATTAAGTTCAGATGGGACTTCCTGGTGTGTTGGCGCAGCAGGGCCCCAGCCCGGAGTTGAGGCCAGAGGGTGACCTATGGTATGTGCGGTGGCTGTGGTCAGTGATCCAGACTGTGCCTTTATGGACGAGGCATCCTGCACTGTGTGAGCTGGCTGAGATGAAAAGGTGGTGAGGGGATCTCTGGTCAGGAGGCCTTCTGTGGCTGAGATGTGCTGTAGGGGGGTGGTGCGCTGTACAGTCGGTGTGGAGGAAAGGCTATCTGCATCAAATCAACAGCATAATAGAGGTGGTAATGGTGGATATCACACTCACTGCTGGAACCTTACGGTTTTACAGTGGCTGATTCAGATAAACAACCTAAACCTTATAATGGTGGATATCACACTCACTGCCGGAACCTTAAAGTTTTACAGTGGCTGATTCAGATAAACAACCTAAACCTTTTCCGCCATGTTGAACACTGCTTTGTTTCTGCTACTGGAAAGGCAACAACACACTGGACTCTCAGTTTGAAGTCACAAAAACCATGTCATTGATTTTCATTTTTCATTCAATAATACTCACAAACATCACATTTTGATTCGGGCAGGGGTGGCCAATCAAAAACTGGGAGTGGCTGCTGCCACCCCTGGCCACCCCTTGGCTCTGCCCATTTGTGATATTAAAATAAGTATTCTGCAGTGTGACTGTTGTTTGGAAGCAAAAGAGGAACTTGTTTTATCATTTTGTGACACTGTAAAACAAAACTGAGAAAATGTGCAGATTAATCAGTCATAAAAATAATCATTATTTGCCACCCTAATGCAAATCAAATCCAAACAAAACACATCGAATTAACACAACAAAAGCAGCAGTAATACAGTGTTTAGACTTTAACGTGAGAAACTACCTGCAGCATCTGCCAAGCAAGAGCCTCCACATTGTTCTATAAGGATAGACAGAGGTCAGAGAGACAGGCGATGGTGCTAGGCCATGGTAAATGGTCTTATACTTGTACAGCACTTTTCTGTGCATTGCAGCACACTAAAAAGCACTTTCACACTATTTGGCCGTTCACACTCACACACCAATGACATCACCGAGAGTAACTGGTGGCTCAGTGTCTTGCTCAAGGACACTTCCACATGTGGACTGGACAAACCAAGAATCGTACTGCTAATCTTCTAGTTAGGAGATGACCAGCTCTACCTCCTGAGCCACAGCCACAGATATTCCTGTGCTCCCCCAAGAGGCAACATAACATCAGCTGAAGGGGTTGTCGTTATCATCTGATCTATAAAGGGAATCTCTTAAATAAGGTTACAACACATTACTACTGAGCCGAGTCTTATGAAAGAGTCTGTTTACAAATAGGCAGCTTTTAGTGTGTGTGTAGTTTTATTTTAAGAGTCTGGAAAAAGTAAACAGCATGCACTAGAAAATTAGAGATGTAGAATTATAGAACTGGGGATGAAATGTTGATAATAATCTCTGCTAAGCAAGACTTCCTTCCTATTGAAGGTGCAGACTTTTAAAAACAGGCATATAAAGAGCACATACAGCTTTGTCTAGATTACCTGAGGATGAGGCAGTACCAGTGTGAGCGCTCATGACAACAGACACCTTCATATGTTGAGACGTAGCCACTGAATGGACTATTCCTTCAGTCTTAGTAGTGGTTGTGGTTTTAGATGAGGCTTCATTCTCGCCTGAAGGATCATGTGTCCACTGCGTGACCTCATTATCAGGATCCTCCGTCAGGTCTGTAGTTACTGAAATGCCATCATGACTTGGGAGAGTAGCCGAGGTGAGGAGCAGCAAAGCACTGCCTTGACCTATGAAGTTAAAATTAAATCAAGCATGGAAAAAATTAATTAACCAATATCAACAAACACAATATTTCTAAGCTAATAAAACACAAATAGTCATGATCTTTCATGTCTTTATTGAACACACCCATTAAACATACAAAGTGATGGTGGAAAAAGTAATAGCAACACTAGGCTTCTGATGTCAGTAAACATCAGCTGAAGTCAGGTATTACCAAAGCTGGAGTCCAATCAATGAAATGAGAATGGAGGTGTGGTTTAGAACTACCTTGACTTCAAACATTGTCAGTGTGCCATTCACAAGCAGCATCAGCTGATGTGAGCTATGCTTCACAAAAAAGAGATCTCAGAAGACCTACAATCAAGAGTTGTTGACTTGCATGTAGCTTTAGATATAATTTAAATATTCATCAGTCCACAGTTAAACATATTGTCTATAAATGGAGACGATGTGGTACTATGACTACTCTGAATAGAAGTGGGGGCCCAGCCAAGATCACTCCAAAGGCTCAGTGAGGTAAAAAAGAACATTGGATTTAGTTAGCATTTTTGTTCATGAGTCAGCCATACACAACATACTGAACAGTCTTGGTATCCATGGCAGAACACAAGGGAGGATGCCACTGCTCTCCAAAAACAACATTGCAGTGCACCTGAAGTTTGCCATAGACCACTGTGACACTCCACAACTGTACTGGGAAAATGTCCTGTGGACAGATGAAACAAAGGTAGAACTGTTTGGGAAGACCACACAGCACTACATATGGCATAAAAAAAGAGCCGAGTACCAACATGAAAACATCCTCCCAGCAGTGAAGTATGGTGGAGGGAGCATCATGATGTGGGGCTGCTTTGCTGGACCTGGACTGCTCGCCATTGTGGAGGGGAACATGAATTCCCAAGTTTAATAGGGTATCTTACAGGATAATGTCAGGGTGGCTGTCCGCAAGCTGAAGCTCAGAGCAAGCTGAGTGATGCATCCCAATAAAGATGCTGTGGAATGACGTCAACAGAGCCATTCACACCAGATGTCCTAACAATATGGCCCAGCTGAAGCAGATCTCTGAGGAAGAATGGTCCAAAATTCCTCCTGAACATTGTGCAGGTCTAAACCACAGCTACAGGGAGCACTTGCTTGAGGTTATTGCTGCCAAAGGTGGTTCAACCAGTTATTAAAATACTGATACCATTACTTTTTCCACCATCACTTTGTATGTTCAGTAGATGTGTTTGATAATGTCATGAAAGATCCTGACTGTGTTTTATCAACTTAGAAATATTGTGTTTGTTGATATCTGTGACTTTGGTGAAAATCAGATCACACTCATGACCAATTTATGCAGAATACCAGGAAACTGCAAACACTGCCATTACTTTTTCTTGTGATTGTATGCATTAAAAGTTTAAATGAGATTAGTGGACGTAAATCAGAATGAAATTTGTAGCGGTAGACAAAGAATTACTCATATCACAATTATCAGTGCACACCCTGCTGAATCAAAAAAGTTCATACAGGAACCTATTGTAATTTATGACTAATAAATAAAATAATGAATTGCAGCCAACAACCTGCAGATCAGTTATGACTTCCTATAGATCAATAGACTGCCAAAAGCATCATGAGCTGATGCAGGATCTCAAGTCTGTCCACACCAAACACAAAGACACACACCGAGGATTACACCTCACCTTTTGTCTGCGATGAGCTGGCAAGGACCACCAACACGTAAAACACCAAATTAATCTCAAATTTCATCTCACCCGCGGCCTTTCCGCTGCAGATCACAATAAAACTGACCGAGCGGTCTCCTCACAGCAGCTCTGCTTTTTGCTTGTTTCCGTTACGTGGTTTGACAGGGCGCATCATCAGAGCTAAAAATATCCTGAGGGAGTCGGGCAGAAGTGAAGTAGGGGTGGGGCTGCATGGCAGGCTGCTTGCTGGCGGCGGTGGGAGCAGCAGAGGCACAGGAGCTTTATTCTAGAGACCAAGAGGTGTCACTGATCACACTGCAAATTCAGGCTTCGCCTTCCGTTTCTGGGCTTTCCGGTTCGGTTGCTCACCTCTGAATCTACTCCTCTGACCTGCATCACTTTGCAATCGCTTTTGCTCGGCGGCTCCAATCAAACGTCAGCGCGTCAGAGGCGCAGCCGTCTGCGTCAGGAGCGCCTGTTATAAGTGCGCTGTAGCACTGAACACACACTATCGGGATGTGGGCAAGCTTCACTGTGCGCTTTATTATTGTTGGCTTGATGCAGGAATTGGCTTAGATGTGTTACATGGTAACAGCTGAATAGTTGTCAGCGTTTGTGGTAATGTGAGACAACTTTTCAGTCCCCGCGGAGGTCAGTATGTGGTTATGTCTGGGTGCCCTGCCCACATATGGGTGGACAGCTGAATGACCCGCTGCGTCCTCTGTCACACGGTGGCACAGTGAATGCGTCTCTTAGTTATTTACTTTTACCTATCAGGCTTTAATTTCTGAAAAATAACCCAAGGCAACAAGAGGAAACCTTCACCCGGCGCCAAATGGAGAATCCGGCCAATCCGGGAGACAGCCCGGTGGAGTTCGAGTTAACGGTGGAGAATGTGGAGTCGGTAAGTTAGTTTTCAATAATCAGGCACTTCACTGAATGACTGTTTGTTGAATTAGGCCTATAGACGCAGCTTCTGTAATAAGCTGCAGCTCAAACCAGTAAAGACCATTCAATGACTTGTCATAAAGAGAACTGCAGCATCATCTCACATGATATATTTAATTTCACCCAATAGCTCAAGTGATTTTAAAACAATAACAATCGTTTCAAATAGAAAACGAGTTTGTTATTTGTGGTTTAACATGAGTTGATGAGACATACTGAACCTTTTGTAACATGAAACCAGCTAAGTATATGCTGTCCTATTAATAACTAACCCCATGTGCTTTGGATTAGTTGCTATGACCACACATTTTTATTCTCTATTAAAATAATTGGACATCCAGCATCTATGGTTATTAATGCTTGTTGTAAATGCAGCTTAATAACTACATTTGAAATGTACTCTTGTGTACACAAATACATTTCAGTCAGTTCATGTATCACAAGATAAAAGTGTTGTAATTAAATACTTGCCACAATCAAAATAAATAGAAAATATGGGAATACTGGTTAATCTGATGACCAGTGTCTATCACTGGTCTCATTTCATTTGCTTGGCCCTCTTCCTCTAGGCTCTCTACCAGCTGTACTTTGACCCAGACATGGCACGTAAGAACGTGGCCCAGAAGTGGCTGACCCAGGCCCAGGCCTCTGCACAGGCATGGCAGTTCTGCTGGGCCCTACTCAGCTCTGACAAGGTTCTGCCTGACAGTCTCTACAACTGCAAAGTTCACATTGACCACTGATGGCATGAGCTGCTAAAGAACATCTGGCATAACATTTAGCATTATATGGTTCAGACAGAGTGGTTGAATTTGCCAGGTTCAGCGCTGCCATTGTATCTCTTATGTCATCTTCAAAGTGTGAATCTGTCTCTTTGCAGCTCCCAGAGGTTCAGTTTTTTGGTGCCAGCACCCTCCATACAAAGATCTCCCACCACTGGAGTGACCTCCCCACAGACCAGCATGAGGGCCTCAGGGTGCAGCTCCTCTCCCACATCTTACACTTCTCTTCAGGGCCAAAAATGGTGCTGACTCGTCTGTGTGTAGCCCTGGCCTCTATGGCTCTCAACTTAATTCCTCATGCTTGGTCCCAGCCGGTGGCAGACATGGTGAGGGCGTTCCAGCCGCAGAAAGCTGACGCAGAAGGTGGCTCTGGTGCAGAGATCTCTCAGGACCCCCATTCACACTGTCTTGCCCTGCTGGAGCTCCTAACCGTACTTCCGGAGGAGTTCCAGAGCAGCCGGCTGGCTCAGGCTCGTCGCACCCAGCTGAGGGAGGCCCTGACTGGGGAGTGGATGGCGGTGTGTCCCCTGCTGCGTCAGCTCCTTCAGAGCCAGGACTCATCAAACCAGGTGAAGGAGAAAGTGCTGCGCTGTCTGTCCAGCTGGGTGGGGCTGGATGTGCCATTAGGGGAGAGTTACGAGTTGGTCCAGGACTGTTTCACTGCGCTGTCTAACCCAGAGCTGTTTGACACTGCCGTGGAGACGATAGTAAGCGCTCTCTCACAACCTGACTGCCAGAGGTGAGAAGCATACTGGATCACATGGTAATGAGTTCGTCGTCATCTCTCTCCTCTCGTCATCGGTGTGTGAATGTGTGTGTGAATGAGTGAATGGTGTATGATCTCCTGTAAAGCGCTTTGGTCAGTGTAACACACTGTGAGAAAGCGCTATATAAATACAGTCCATTTACCATTTACCATTTGAGTTCACAGTCAGTTCTGATATGGAGTAAATCAAAATATGTGTGTAGGTACACTGATGCTCTGGTGAGACTGATGCCTCTGGTGCTGGGTCTCTATGACCAGCTGAAGACAGCGGCTCAGGATGGGGACATGGAAACCTCACATGGCATCTGTCGGATAGCTGTCGCTGTGGGGGAAACACACTCCAGGTACATCCGGATGTACATGCACGTTGCCATCCTAGAACCTGGCTTCATTACTTGGCTTGTTAATTTGAACTGTTGTGTTTGTGTATGACAGAGTTTTATTGGAACAGGTGGAGCACTGGCAAGACTATCTGGCTTTGGTCAACATGATTCTGTTCTGTACTGGTATCCCTGGGCATTACCCAGTCAGCGAGACCACCAGCTCGCTCACACTCACTTTCTGGTACACTCTTCAGGTATGGAGACTGAATTCTGCTGATATTTTTGCTGAGTTTGATAGTTTTATGGTAATCATAGTCATTAAGTGTGTTTTTGTGTAACTCTGTCTGATAAAGGATTTAGACACGAGTTTTACCAAATTTTGCATGTTCAGGATGACATCTTGTCATTTGAGGAGGAAAAGCAGGCAGTTTACCTGCAGGTCTACAGGCCGGTTTACTTCCAACTGGTGGATGTGCTGCTACATAAATCACACTATCCCTCCCAGGAGGAGTATGCCTCCTGGTCCTCCGATGACAAAGAGCAGTTCAGAATTTACAGGTAAGACAGGTCAATGGTGGAGCCCTAAAACTGGCAGTAGTCCTCCCTCACAGGAAGCAGGCTTTGAATATGAGAGGACAAATTACATCTTTTTGTCTCCTCATACTATACACTGTCACACATGAAAGTACTTTAGAATAATAATCTATTTTCTTATGTAAAGCATTTCCATTTATAATGCTACACTAATATGTTTAGCAGGTAATATTTACAACCTTTATTGTTTTAGGTTAGCATGTTAGCATTTGCTAATTAGTACTAAACCCGTCCAAAGTACTGGACAGATTAAATTCTTCAAATGATGATGGCACTAGATAAAAATTCAGAGTATGACCAAAGTTATTACACTTCATTATCAGGGGACATGAAAATCTGTTCCTATGAAATTTCCTGACAAGTCACCCAATAGCTGGTAGTAATAAACTATGGTAGATACAGATTGAACTTTCTACATCTAACTACACTTCCATGGTTTGCAGAGTGGACATCTCTGATACTCTGATGTATATTTATGAGATGCTGGGAGCAGAGCTGCTCACTAACCTCTACGACAGGCTTGGCAGACAGCTGATGGACCCCCAGCAGTCAGCAGTATGGCAGGTGGCGTAATTAACAGTTACAGTCAGTGTGAAAACATGGTGTATATTTACACAGTGTCCATAAACTATCGGTGCTTTATACAGTAATCTGAATTATATTTGTAACTGTACCTGAGCTACTCTCTTGATCTGACATCACACCGTGTCCTTCTTAAGGAGGCAGAGGCCCTGTTGTTTGGCTTCCAGTCCATCGCTGAGACCATAGATGTCAACTACTCTGATGTTATCCCCGGTCTTATTGGTCTGATCCCCAGGATCAACATCAGCAACGTTATGCTGGCTGACACTGTCATGTACACCATAGGTACAAACCCAAACACCTGTTAAGCGAGTATCTTTAACAGCAGTCACCTTTGACTTCATGACATGTCCCCTTGTTGGCCAGGATCCCTGGCTGAGTGGCTGGCTGACCACCCCGTGATGCTGGGTGGCATATTACCCATGGTGCTCCAGGGCCTTGTGAAGGCAGAGCTGTCTGTGTCGAGTGTTTCTACTCTGAAGAGGCTCTGCAGGGAGTGCAGACATGACCTCACCCCCTACGCTCAGGACATTCTGGCTGTGTCACAGGTCACACAGAGAGTTTTACACAGGCAGAAATCATCTTATGTATTTTTAACCAAGGTGTGATAACTATATTCATAAACGTGTTGTTACTTTTGTTTTGCCTATAGGATGTACTGGTAAAAGACATCCATAAGGTGAGTAAACAGCCTTCACACTTCCATTTTATTCTGAAACCAAGATAAGTGCCCCAAACATCTATGTGGCGACATCACCTATGATGTGTACTGTACAGTGGTGTGAAAAAGTGTTTGCCCCCTAAACCTAATAACTGGTTGGGCCACCCTTAGCAGCAACAACTGCAATCAAGCGTTTTCGATAACTTGCCATGAGTCTTTTACAGCGCTGTGGAGGAATTTTGGCCCACTCATCTTTGCAGAATTGTTGTAAGTCAGCCACATTGGAGGGTTTTCGGGCATGAACTGCCTTTTTAAGGTCATGCCACAGCATCTCAATTGGATTCAGGTCAGGACTTTGACTAGGCCACTCCAAAGTCTTCATTTTGTTTTTCTTCAGCCATTCAGAAGTGGACTTGCTGGTGTGCTTTGGATCATTGTCCTGCTGCAGAACCCAAGTTCGCTTCAGCTTGAGGTCACAAACGGATGGCCGGACATTCTCCTTCAGGATATTTTGGTACACAGCAGAATTCATGGTTCCATTTATCACAGCAAGTCTTCCAGGGCCTGAAGCAGCAAAACAGCCCCAGACCATCACACCCCCACCTCCATATTATACTGTTGGTATGATGTTCTTTTTCCGAAATGCGGTGTTACTTTTACACCACACAATGGGACACACACCTTCCAAAAAGTTCAACTTTTGTCTCGTCTGTCCACAGAGTATTATCCCAAAAGTCTTGGGGATCATCAAGATGTTTTCTGGCAAAACTGAGACGAGCCTTTATGTTCTTTTTGCTCAGCAGTGGTTTTCGTCTTGGAACTCTGCCATGCAAACCATTTTTGCCCAGTCTCTTTCTTATGGTGGAGTCATGAACACTCACCTTAACTGAGGCAAGTGAGGCCTGCAGTTCTTTGGATGTTGTTGTGGGGTCTTTTGTGACCTCTTGGATGAGTTGTCGCTGCGCTCTTGGGGTAATTTTGGTCGGCCGGCCACTCCTGGGAAGGTTCTCCACTGTTCCATGTTTTCGCCATTTGTGGATAATGGCTCTCACTGTGGTTCGCTGCAGTCCCAAAGCTTTAGAAATGGCTTTATAACCTTTTCCAAACTGATAGAGCTCAATTATTCTCTTTCTCATTTGGTTTTGAATTTCTTTGGATCTCGGCATGATGTCTAGCTTTTGAGGATCTTTTGGTCTACTTCACTTTGTCAGGCAGGTCCTATTTAAGTGATTTCTTGATTGCGAACAGGTGTGGCAGTAATCAGGCCTGGGTGTGGCTAGAGAAATTGAACTCAGGTGCGATAAACCAGTGTTTTGACAGGGGGGCAAACACTTGTTCACACAGGGCTATATAGTTTTGGATTTTGTTTTCCCTTAATAATAAAAACCTTCATTTAAAAACTGCATGATGTGTTTACTTGTGTTATCTTTGACTAATATATAAATTTGTTTGACGATCTGAAACATTACAGTGTGACAAACATGCAAAAAGATAAGAAATCAGTAAGGGGGCAAACACTTTTTCACACCACTGTATGTGTTGTTGTGTTGTCTGTGTGCAGAGCAGCCAGTGCATGTGGCTGATGCAAGCTCTGGGTTTCCTCCTGTCTGCCTTGCCGGTAGATGAGATTCTGGACAAACTTCGTTCTCTCATCACGCCTCACGTCCAGCAGCTGGATACACTGGCTCAGGAGGAGGTACAGCCAGAGAAACTCATGCAAGTGTAATACTGAAATAATAGCTGTAGTAGATGTGCTTGTGCCTAAGTACAAAGAGAGCACTAACATGTTGAAACTGTATTACACATGACTACTTTAAAGTGTATTTCTCCTCTAGTTTGGGAAAGGCAGTGTCATGAACCCCGGACACTTCCTGTTCTAGACTTTTATTTTGAAAATATTTTCTGCCTCGTGTTATCTCACTCACTCCAGCTTTATTTTGGCCATTCATTAACTCAGGTCACTTAGACCTGTTGCTTGTTGTCTCTGGCCACTTCCCTCAGCCATTCGCCAGTTGGTCCTGTTTAGATGACACTGCTCTGCTCTGCTTCACCTAAGATTCTTCGTTTGTGCTCAGAGACTTGCTACTACCCGGTGGTTTGCTGTTTTTCTTAATCAGTCTGCTCCTGCTCCTCCTCTCTCTGGATGTTTATTCTGATTGCAACCCCCTGTCTGTACAGGCAGCTCTAGTAGTACTTCTCTGTATTTCTCCAATATCCGTGCCTAAAGAAGTAATGATTAGAGTCTAAATTCAAATTAAAAATCACTGCCTCTCTCTTTTATTGTTGTGCCATCACAAGACTCCTGTGTTTCCCATCCACTTTGTGTCTCTCTGCAGCCTAGTTCCACTAATAAACAGTCTATTGTCCACATCCTGGGGATGTTCTCCAGTCTCTTCACTACTCTGGACATCAGCAAGCAGGCAGACGGCTCAGAGGGAGCCACCAGTCTCAGACCCACACCCTCACTAGCTGTACACAATCCAGTAAGTTCATGTCAAAATGACATCATGAAAAACCTTGATAAAAACTGTTTGCCTATGGGTGCCACATACACCAGCTGCTGTAGATTTGTCCTGCAACATAAAATAAGCAACAAATAACCTCAACTGTTTCCCTTTCATTTAATTATACAGTATTGTGCAGTGGTTTGTTTTAAACTTTACAATGGGCCTTGTGTATCCATATTTCCAAACATGCAAAATGTTTAAATGTGTTGAAATGAACCAAAGCATGTTTATAGAAAATATATTTTAAAATCATTGTATTTTATGTGTTTATAGATTGTGGTTGTGGAATATATTTTAAAATCATTGTATTTGTGTATAATACAATGAAATTGGTTTTATATGTTTTTTTTATGTGTTTATAGATTGTGGTTGTGCTTCAGCAAGTGTTCACATTGATCCAGACCATTCTCTGCAAATGGCTTGATGACTCAGAAGTCGTAGAGGTACAGTAGGAGGGGTTTTCCTGCATGCATCAATGTGCACAATGTTGTGTGTGTGCACCTAGGATTTTACTGTGTCTGTTTACTGACTCACACTCTTCCCTCCCAGGCAGTGTGCGGGGTGTTTGATAAATCAGTTCGAACCCTCCTACATGATTTCGGGCCTATGGTGGCTCAGCTGAGCGAAATGCTGGGGCAGATCTATAGCGCCTTCCCACAAGCCTCTGCTCTGGACTTGGCACGGCAGGTAACCCCCCCAAACCAACCCCAGAGGTCAGGGCCTCAGTAAAAAGCATTAATGAAGACTCTGCCATGTATTCTCTTTCTTGTTGTGTTTAGCTGGTGCATATATTTGCTGGAGAGGAACACCACACCTCTGACATCAGATCCCTTGTTGAAGTGCTGACATCCACCACGCTCACTGTATTTCAACAAGGTAATAAGGTATAATTGCAAAGACATTTCTGTTTTTCTTTATACGTAGATGTGGCTTGTCATTGTAGATTTCTTATCCAGACCCACGGGACCATCCTGACATTGCAGAATCATTCATGCACCTCCATGCTCAGGTTGGCCACGTGCACTTTTTGTCATGTCTTTATGTAAACTTGCATCAGACAAAATCTTGTACTGACTGCACTGCTTGTGTCTTCTTTGTTGTTAGATTCTTAAGAGGAAGCCTGATTTGTACTTGTCTGACCAGCTGGATATAAAAGCATTGTTTTACTGTGGTGAGTGTCATTATGTGCTTGTACTGTATACAGGTCATTCCTATTGATAGCAGTTCAATTTCATTTGTATAGCGACAAATCAGAACAAAAATCATCCCAAGGCACTTTACATAGAGAAAACCCCCAACAAATCCCCCTCGAGCAATCATTTGGTGACAGTGGGGAGAAAAAACTCCCTTTAATGTCAATGACACATTACCCATAAATAATTTCTAACATCATTTGAAGATCACTAAATTCCAAACAGGGTATCAAAACTGATTAGAATGAATGGTGTGGCATGATTTTACCCCTTCTACATATTGTGTGCCTTGCAATCTTTGCCTGGATGCACAAAGACTATGTTTAAAACTTTTCTGCTTGTTGTGATCTTCAAAATCTAGCTGGAACGGCCATTTGTGTCACTCATTCCAAATGATTTGATCTTCTGTTTTCTTCAGGGATTCTGTCACTCAAGTTTCCAGAGCTGCCTACAGTAAAAGCTGCCAATCTATTCTTTGTAAGTAGGCAGAAATGTGCACGGTGTCATTTTAGTCTCTCTCTCTCTCTTTTTAATTAAGTCGGCATATAAATTATTTCTGCCTTGCCCCTTGCAGACAGAGCTGTTGCCTTGCTGTAAAGACATGGCCTCACTTGGTGAAGTGTTGCAGAGCAATGGAAAGCTGCTGACAGAGACCATACTGCAGGTGAACCAGGCTTATACTACAGAGGACATTATATGAAAACTAGATATAAAAATACACATCATTATGTGGAATGGTAATGTGTAATGGTATGCTTTGATTCTGGTCTCAGGCGGTCGGAGGCCAGTCTCCTCACAGCCTGGCAGAGCATTTCTCAGAGGTGCTAATAAGTCTAAAAAGACACTGTCCAGCTCTGTTGTCCCAGTGGCTGAAAGAAACACTACAGACCCCAGGATTCCCCTCCACCCAGGTCTCCACAGAGCAGAAGCACACCTTCAGCCAGCAGCTTCTACGGTAATAATCTGTCTAGCCTGTTAGAGCCAGGTTACGTACTTCAAGTAGCTATAAGCAATGTTTTTTATATTAACAGTGGATCACATGACACATTGCATGTGTACGGGGGCGCTTGTTGTGATGAAACCTGCAGCTTCCCTTAGCTCTGTAGACATTTTAGCACTTTTGAGCTCATTGTTTTGGTTTTCTGGCCCTCAGTGTTACCTTTTTGGTTCAGCCTCACCACTCTCATTGTTGACATTTCCAGGTGCAGCAGACTGCTGCTGTCAGCTAACTAACAAACTACTTTTAGCAGCAAAACATTAGCCCATTGCCATTGGCAAATATTCAGATATTGGCATATTACCACCGAACATCCGGAGCCCAAAAACTGCCATTTGGGACAGCCCTAGTTTAGGTAGCTGTTTGCTAACAAGTGTCCCACCTCACCCAACAAGGTACCATGTCAGTGTGGTCTTTACTAGTCTCTGCTGCCCTCATGTGGTCAAATAAATTCATATCGCTGCCCATTAGCACTGGATTCATCCTTAAGAGTAGCGGAATTAAGTGGAAATTACAGTTTAATAATATACAAAAATGTTTGATATTTTTGTGAAATGTTATATGTGCATCTTTCTCCCAGGGAACAGACCAACAAGTGTCACGTTAAAGAGATTGTGAAGGAGTTCTCTCTGCTCTGCCGAGGACTACAGGGTTCTGGATACTCAGACCATTAGCCTGAGCTGCTAGTGCTGCATCTGACTTTTCTTTGACAAAGGTCAATATAAAGAAAGCCAAAAAAACAGAATCTCTTTCAGTGCTAAAAGGTGCCAGACAAGACTGTTACTTGACACTGAGGTGACACCAGACTATCAAAACCCCAGTAACCGGACTGAACTAAAGTGAGCAGGATGAAGGTGTGTGGGCCTTTGTGCACCATCTGTCAGATGCAAAGCTGGATGAAATGAGAGGAACAAAGTGTCACAAAGCTGTTTCCAGGCATCTTTTTGACAAACACCACCAATAAACATCTTTCTTTGTAGGAGCTTGAGCAACTGTGTATGTGTTTTTACTTATTTATTGTTTTTCTCCTGTTGTATACTGCTGTAGATCATATTCACATAATCAAAATATAGACCCCCCCCATACACAAACACACACACACACACACACCTGAGCCAGACCAGTTCTCTCTGTTACAAAGGAGAGCCTTTAAAAATGAGACATCATTACATGATATAGCCTTGAACTCTTGCGTGTGTCTATACTTCTGCTAATATATAAGAAAACAATTGAACCACTTGAACAACAGAAAAAACAAGATCAACTTTTTTAAAGCAGACATGTCGTGACAACAGACTGATTATTTTTCTTGTTCAATCAGAGGCGTCACTGTGAGGGATGGCGGCTGTTGGAAGCTGGTGCTGCACCCGCCGTAGGAAAAGCTGACTTGTGAAGCAGTGATGGTCAGTGAGGGTGGCTCTGAGTTGAGAAGGGTGTAAGAGCCAGTCTGTGTGTGTTACTGGGTGACTGTGTAGTTCAACCACAGCACATTAGTCTTTCCCTGAACCAGTCCTGGCCCAGGATGTTCACTATCGTATTCTTGTGAAAAGGTTCAGCACTGACTTTGATTCCTGAAGAAAACAAAAAAAGTAAATGTTTTATTGAGCTCATATTTATCTGTTGAATTTTAGGATATTTTCAAGGTCTGTAATTTCAGAGCTCAAAATTACATATAGAGGTATTGTAAACAAAAAAATAAGGGTGAAATCAACTTTTAAACTGTTACTGTATTGACACAAATAGGCCTCGGTGTTTTCAGAGAGTTTCAAATTGGAAAATTCTCAGCTCAACTTCAACAGCGTTTGATACATCATCCATTACATCAACAACCAAATGGTTCAGACCTGCATAAACCGGGTAATTTGGTTCTGTTAGCTTAAATCCACAGTACCTTTGTGCAGCGTGTTTTACTGAAGACGTTCCAGAAACGTAGTGTCTCGTCCCCAGCTCCTGTAACGATTGCCTCCCCATCTGGGGACACGGCCTGAAGACGAAGGAGAAACAGAGACACTGGTGAAAGGGTGAAGCTGATTCTGGTCCATGGATATTGGGGAAAATGGATAGAAAAGCTGTACATTACTGGAAACATTCAAATAGTGCCTTTAATTAATGCAATCAATAACACAAAGTCCAGATCATGAGTACTTTCACATTTGAAAAGTATTTAGTACTAAAGTAGGACTTTAAATGCAGGAGCTTTACTTTTAACAAAAATCTTTTTATATAGTTTTTATACTTATACTTGAGTAAAGCATGTGAATGCTTATTCAACCACTGGATAAATGTGCAGTATGAAATATGGCTGCCACTAATGGTTACACACATTATTTAGTCATCCACCAATTAATTTCACCGTTGTTTCTCTATATATAAAGTCAAACAATTTCAGTTTACTGTCATGCATGACAAAGTATCAAATTCTCGCATCTGAGAAGCTGGAGCCAACAGATCTTTGGTATTTTTACTTAAAATATGACTAAAATTATTATTCAGTGATCAAAACAGCTAATCCTCTGTTGACAGTCAAAGTGGCTGTGGCATGAAACCACTGGACATGTGCGTATGCTTTCTATTCCTTTCAGAAACTAAAAGCAGAAATGAGTTGTGGTTCCAGTTGCATATTACCAGATACAAGACTCTGTAGGAGTGTCCTGTCAACTTGGCCACTTGTGTTAGCGAAGGGTACTTCCACACCAGGATCTGGTTCTGAGAGTAGCCATGAGTGCTCACCTTTAGAGACAGGAAGCGCAAATAACTACAAATGCTGAACACATTGCTACTGAGCCTGGAGGTCCATAGTGTTGCGTTATATTAAAAGATGCTTCTAATGTTAGTCCATTTCCACCTACACACAGGAAGTGGACCCACCATACAGCTGAATCAGAGTGAACATCATACTGTACGCTTCACATACTGTTGCCTGCCGCTGCAGAGATATTTTATGACTAAGTAAGTAATGAATAGGTGGAAACTGTGTATATTAATTGGACAAAAAGCAATAAAATGCCTTTATACAAAATGTAATAAAAACGTTACAGTTACTAGACATGTCCTAACATCTCTACATTAACAGTGTGCTATTGGTTTTCTGATGATGAAATGCATTTTGACATTATGCAGCCTTACAGTAATAACAACATTTTAGCGGGGAGCTGGCTTTTACCTGAACATGGGATTACATTTTGTGTGAATGTATTCCATTAATGCAGGGGTTTTCAATCAGTGGTCCACAGCCCCGTGGTGGACTGAGAAGGTAATGCAGGTGGTCCAAGACTATTGTAATTTCCCTATGGGAATTACAATTTATTTTATTCATTTATACACCTTCCCGTGTGTTAATTATAGTTTGTGAATAATGAAATTCATGCAAATATATAAAAGTGTGAAAAGGCAGTGGTCCTCAGGCTGCGTTGTAGCCACAGCAGTGGTCCCTGGCTCACCATCAGTTGAAAACCCCTACATTAATGGATTAATAAGATTTATTTTTAACAATTATTAAATTACATTTTTATGATTGTTATATCATCATTATCTTTAGCTACATTTACCACTCAGTGACACTGAAACTGTCTTAGATCTAGCCATTATCTGCATAAAGGAGCTGCATCTCCAGGGTGGTGCAGGTGCTTCCTCACCAGTTCGTTGGCATGTTTGGACCACGCCAGGTTGCAGACCTGGGAGCCAGTGTCTGTGCTCTGCAATGCCTGCCCCGTCAGTGTGTTCCAAAAGCGTAAGCAGCGGTCGGCAGTGCCGCCCCCTGACGCCAGCAGCCCGTGTTGGTGGGGGGACCAAGCGATGGCCTTCACTGCTGCCAGGTGGTCGCTGTACTGCTGCACTGGGAGCAGACTGGAACTGTTCCACACCAACAGCTGGCCAGGAAGAGACAAAGAACAGGATCTTGAAGCTTGAGTTTGCTCACTTTTATTGTCAGGGTGCTATCATTGAAGACCTAAACGTCAGTGACATAACATTTAAAGTCAAGTTTTAGATTCACTCACCTTGTTGTCGTTGCCTCCAGATGCGAGGTGCTGGTGGTCAGGAGACCATTTGAGCCCGCACACTTCTTGCCTGTGACCTTGCAGCCTCCTCTCAGCAGAAGGGAGGGTTCTGACGTCCCGCTGGAGGATCACTCTGTCCCGGCTTCCCGATGACAGCTGCTCCCCGTTCCATGCCAGGGCACCTTGGGCACAAAGAATAGGAGAGGAGGGTCTTCATATTTCATTGCGGCTATCAAACACCTGTCTGATATTTCTTACATGACACATGCTCGGTGGTACAACATATGCAGCAGATAATGGAATTTAGGGTCACTGAGTAACAAATATCATGATAAAGTGCAAAACTAATGTTTGTTTTTTTTTTAAGATGTTAGGACACTCTCCTGTTTTTCCTTTTGTAGACAAAAACATACTTTAACCAGCAGTGTGTGGTTCTACATGACCCACAACTGACCTACACGGGCTGAGTGACCCTCCAGACTGGTTAGCTTCCTCCCTCCTGCTGCGTCCCAGATCTGAACGTAACCCTTGTGGGTTCCAACAGCAACGAGACTCCCCTGGGAGGAGCAGAGCCAAAGTCACTCAAACTACAGGAGCAGTTATTTCCTTATTATTTTGATTCTACAAACAGTTAACTTTCTCTCATGCTACATCAGCAGCATAATCCAACTGTGGCAGCCCACCCTCTCATTCCAACAAACTGAAGTAACGGAGTCTCCATCCACTGAAAGGTCACATAACCTCGTCACCTGTTAAGACACAAAGCACGTACATTTACCATTTCTACAGGTTCAGTATACGAAAGACATTTTCATTATAAGTGAGTCATAGATCAGATACAAACTATTTTCCTTCCCTGCAAAGCTTCACCCAGTAACTAGGTGAACGTCACAGTAACACAAACTGTAAAAGGCTCTGCTCTGACCTGGCTGGTGCAGGCACTCCACAGGTAGACGCAGGCTCCCAGGCCCACACTGAGCAGGTTGCCCGCTGACCAGTCTACCAGGTTGAGGTAGAAGTCATCCTGCAGTTCTGGAGCGTCCAGCACTTTGAAAGGGATCTTGGAGATCTTGCGGGCTGGTTTACGAGGGGAGCGCAGCAGCTTATGACTACAGAAAACAACGAGAGGTGAAGTTCACTCACCAGAATCCAACAGCAAAGCTTGAACTTTGTGTCTGTTCAGCTGCAGTAAATGAGATATACCATACCTCTTATTACTAAGTGGAGAAAGGGAGTATGGTGAGATTTCATTATCGCTATCAAAAGGCACTCTCTTAGCGTGAACAGTGTACTGCGGAGAATGAACACATGAAGAAGAATCAGTCCGACTCTGTTGATCACCGAGGTGAACTGAGGGCAGTGTTTCTAGTTTTCTTACTTCTGCCACATTTTCTCTTATACTGTCAATCTGTTGTTTTCTTTTAGTCACTTAATTATTCTTCTCGCTGCTTGTAAAAAATACCATTAGAGATTTTGCACACTTGTTACTCTACCAAATGAAAGCACTACATGAACTGCTTCTGTTAATGAATTTCATTATGTAGCTTTGTGTTGACATGTGCAATTTTTGAATAAATGTTAAATAACATTTTAATTAAAGACATGCTGATGTTTTTTTTTTTATTTACTCATCCAAAACAGATGCAATATAAAAGCCCATGGATTCTGAGTGGAATCGAAATTAAACTGCAGCCTGAAGCCAATGGCAACTTCATATAGCACTGAATCTTATGTGTCAGAAGGTTTAAGAGGGACAGACACACAAAATCTTTCACATTAGATCTTTCAGAGCCCACCTCTAACTGAATCCATTCATATGTACTATTATTCTGTGTTACTATCATTACTACTTTGATACCATTCCCTCATAATGATGTTCATTTCAGCGGTGTCTCAGAGCTACCTGGAAACAAGTTACTTTGGAAGTGAACAGACTCTTACCCTAAAAAGGCTGTGGGGGCCTTGGGAGAGGACTGCATGTCGCCGGTCGTCTGTGTGAGGGTCTGGTACAGTTTCTATCCCTGCCCCCAGTAACTCATTCCTCAGCAGGGCAGCATACGCCACAGCATCTGCGAGCAGTGAGAGTGGTAATGGAAACAAGGATGGTGGAGAAATATGACTGAGAATAATAAAAAAATAAAAATGCATTCAACTTGACAAGAAACTGCCCTCTGAGGATTTCTGACCTTTGCTTGAATCAGAAGTGGCATCCTTTGATTTATGGTTCTGACTGGGAGAGCGACAGTTCTCCTGCAGAGGACGGGAGAGGACCTTTAACTGTAATCCTGGTACTGATAATGAAGCTGTGTGTGCTTGTGTGACACAGTATGACAAAGAGAACAGGTGACTAAAGAGAGAAACTACTAAGCTGCTCACATTGGCATAGTGGAAGTTGATGCTCCAGTTGCTCCCAGCCCGGGTGGGAATGAAGCGGTCTCCTGACTTCACACTGACAGGACTGCAGGTAGCGCTTACACACTGCAGTGGTCAGAGAGCCACTATGAGAATCATGGACCAGTTGGGCCAAAAGCCCTAGGGTTTCTAGCTTTTAGTTTTCCTCATATAATTGCATTTGGATAAGCAAAACTAAATTTTACACGGGTTAAAGACCCAGCTGTTACACACACACACACACACACACACACACACACAATATGTCAATGTTACACTGAGCCCTTATCTTCACAGTCGTGTGTGCACCAGCATTGACAGTCATGAGTGGTTATCTGACCTTCGACAGGCGAGCCTCTGTCGGCAGGTTCTGGTGGTTGATTTGCCTCCGCAGCCGCCTCTCCTCTCTTCTGGGCTGGCGAGGAGCAGGCAGAGGCCCTCCCCGCTGCCTTCAAACCTCCGCTCCCTCCCGGTGAGGAAATCCGCAAAGGACCCCCATCTCTGAAACAGGTTCGGGTTAAGTCAGAACAGAAAGCAATGAGCAGACTCCGAGGACACAAGCGGCTCTTTGCTAACTAGGTGAACACATAACGTTACCGACCAGCTTGGCTAGCCCGTCGTCTGTGCGTTTAACCACATTCAGGCTGCGTTATTGTTGTTATCGGTGCATGGTTTAAATAGCACATCCCTATGTGCCGTTTGTTATTCACATAAAAGCACGCGGTTATCTAGGTTAAATAGCTGAAAGGCTTCACGGTGCGCTAATGACAGTCGCCCGTTGTCATGGCATCCCGCTCGTGCACACAACAACCCGTTTACAAGCAGTGCAGCACCACCTGACGACTGCTGCTCGACGCTTTCTTACCGACTGACACCGTGGCTCAGGTGACTAAAGCAGCTGCCATCTTCTGTTGAAAAGATCGGCTCCGAGGCGAGGAAAGTGCTTTCGGCTTCTTCTAAACAACACCAGTACATCCAAATGCCAACGCGACCTACTGATGTTGTTTAATTTCGAGACAAAGATGGCGACCGCATCAGCTGTAGCAGAAATACTTTGGTTGACTTCTGCCGTCTGTGCAGTCAGAGCGGTGCTCAACAGCGACGCCGGCTGGCAACACGTGATCACCGCATTTGAAGTCGCACTGTGGTAATTCCCTCTGTGGCCACAGGGCGTCGTTGTGGTGCACGTCAAAAAAAATATCCCCCCCCCCCCCAGAAAGCATGACATTACACAGTCATTGAATGAACCCAACATTATGTATGACCCGGAACCCCTCGTTAACCTTAAAAACCTAGTTTTGAAATTGATTTCCAGATTGATACTTCATAACTCAAATTTTATGACAGTTACTTTTACTGTAAACATGATTTTTAACTGATCTTAAACTGATGTTTCATGGAATATATTCCAAATAAGATGAATATATACCTGTGAAATAAATAAAAGGCTTTCCACTTTAATATTTTTCTACATTTAGAGTTTTAATAAGGTCAGGAAAAATATAAGAAAAAAATATGTTCATTTTGCAAAAAAAAAATTTCTTTTTTACACACATACACATGCAGGATTGGAAAACTGCAAACAATGAGAAAGTAACACTTGGGAAACTAAACAGATTCCTTATACTAAACCTATGACAAATTCTTAAAGAGGTATGTAGGGAAAATAGGTGCCCAGCCCAGAAGCCCTGGATCCCCCTGTAAATGCATCCAGACGGTTTTTAAAATCAACCCCTCACATGATGATGATGATGCTGTCCTCAATAGCTGTGTGTCAGGTAAAAAGTCAGAGTATTGATAGCAGGCCTACATATTTACCTAGGGGCCCCTGTGCAAATAGAGCTTTGTACTGGCTCTTACTGATACTAAATCAAAGCGGGAACTGGCCCGCTGCTGCCAGGGCTTTAATCAGACAGTCAGACACGGTAGGGTGGAGACATGGCATTTTTGGTGGCACTCTGATCTGCACGTAGGCTTGTGGGCTGCACTGCCCCTTGACATACCACGAAGCACTAAGCCTACATTGAGGTGTCAGCAGACCTGACGTAAACCACACAGACACTGTTCGGAGACTGTCTCTTATTTCCTTTCTTGCTTTGTTTCCAATATAGACAAAACACACACACACACATTGTCAGTGGTGGAAAGTAATTATGGACGTACATTCAAATACTGCACTGAGGGACACTTCTGAGGTTCTTGTACTTTACTTCAGCGCCTCCATGCTTTATGCCAGTTTATACTTGTACTTCATAATATTTATGACAGCTACTATTATCTGTACTTACTATTATACCACAGTTATCTACTTGAACAAATTACTTTTAGCTAGACCTATTTAACACGTTCAGTTATTTATCCATTACAAAATTACTTTAACTGTTCATCCATTCATTTGACCTAGAGTTTCCAGGCTATTTGACACTATTAGCCATTATTTTTTACCATTACTTTAAACCATTTGCCCATTACTTAGTTAACAATTTTAACTGTTTATCCAGTGATTGTTAGCTATCTACAGTACAGTGGTGTATGTCAGTTTTTTATTCATTAGCCTACTTATAAGCTGTCTGATTAACCATTATCCATTTTTAGCTAATGGTTTCAGCTCCCCCCCCCCCTGCTTGCCAACTCTGCATGCTCAACACATGATGTTCCAGTGTTACAGAAAAACACATCTTAAGTTACATCTTAATTTCTCTTTTTCTAGCTAGATGAACTATGCTACATTTTTTTTCTGGTATCTCCTGAGCTGTCAACTGCAGACTTAGCCACTCTAAATGTTGAATCACTGGAAAAATAAAAAAATAAAAATCACTATGAATTGGTCAAACTGGATTTTTTCCTTTTTCATTATAAAAATCACTATGAATCTGTCAAACTGGATTTTTTCCTTTTTCATTTCATGACTCCCTTGGGACCATGTGAATGGGCTTGGGCCTCAGATTGGCAGCCACTGCATTAAAGCTAAGTGTATGTTTATAAAATAGCCTCACTAAAATAGCTCCACGTCAAACTGTGAAGGCTATTTCCACTAAATGTATCAGTAACAATCTGATAATGTTTATCAGTCATCATGGACTTCTTTGTTGTTTCATTTTAGATTTGATACTAGCTGTTAATACTTTTGTAGCATTGTGAGTGCAGGACTTTTCCTCATAAAGGCAATGTTTTCAGTTGTTTTTATATTTTTACTTACTAAATGATACAAGCACTTTATCACAGCTGTACCAATACACTATGACTATAGGAATGTAGCCTGCCTCATGTAAACATTCCACACATGTGCATACATGCAGACACACGGAAACACAAACACCAGTAATCTGACCATCACCACCGTTTGCTTTTAGTCAGCCCATTCACAACAGGCCCTCTT